ACCAAATCATGGACAACCGGGCTTGTAACTGACTCGGTAAGGTAACCCCAACTTGCACACCAAATGTTAATTATACTATAAATCTCGTTCTTCATGTACAAGGGTTTCATAAAAAAAGACCTAAATCCTTAAACAGAACATCTTACCAATAAGTTTTGAGGCTTGATGTCACGGTGACAGATACCAATGCAGTTGTGTATATAGGCAAGCGCCCTACATATCTGCAATCAAAAAAGGGAGGGAAAAAAACAAGAATTAATGAAGATTTACACACAAATCCATTTCAGAGTTAAAGTGGATTCAATCAGCTCCATTTCAGAGTTTTTAGCTGTTTTTGTCTTAAAAGTTTCTAAAAATCTCATGTACAGGTGTTTCCACAGAGATAAAGAATATATGAAATTAAAAGGTAAGCTAGCTTTAATTGAGGGCATCAAAAAGCTAGTCTTTACTTTCTCCTAATAAACCAAATGCTAGAATAGAAAAGATAGATTATTTTAATGGCATCCCTTAATGCCACCTAGCAGGAGGATTTCATGACTTGAGGGGAATTGCTCCACAATTGGTAGATACTATCTTATATTACAAAATAGCCACTGGTAGGAGAATTTAGATAATCCCAGCTATTACAAAAATACAAGAAGAAATCGCTAATCAGTAGGTCATTTGCCTATACCAAAGACTTTTACCCTCGATGTTTTGAAGAGAGACAAATTGATGAAGAATCATGCACCTCCATACCTCATTCTAGCCTAGCCATCTGTACAGAACAGTGGTCAGCGCATGATTTCTCACAAACCTAAAGTGGAATTCCAAAACTAACTCCTACCTTTATGACTCTTCTTTTTCCTGCTACCAAATTCAATTTCCAAAACCCTCAACAAGAGTCATTCAAACTTCAAACTTTCCTTTTCAACTTAAACCAGTATAACAAAAGAATACTCTCTCGAACCAAACTAAACCCATCAAACATATCCTGAGAGCTCTGCTCCATGTATGAAATTGGTGAGCAGGCTATTTAACTAAATGCACCAACACAAACCACCATGTCATTCAACCCAAATTGGTGGCAACCAATAAGCCACCATATCATTCATCAAGCCACTGGCCAGCAAAAATCCGCTATTTTGCAAGCACTAACCCACATGAGAAAGCCAAAGGTATGAACATAGATTTAGATCTTAAAATGATGCAGATGTACAAAAATAGTGCCAATATCTTAATCCCCAATACATAGTTGGAAAAATAAAAGAACTAAATTATGAGAAAAGAGTAGCTTTTAGTTCAAATGGCTACCCATATAGCTGCCTGGTGAGATCTAACATTTAATCTGTTCAAATTACATACTTAAAGCTTGTCTTAGATGGCACCAGAAAATCCCTGGCACCTTTTGAAAAAACAATTAGAGAAAAAAAAAATTGTCTTTGTTTCTATAGAATTCCTATCCCTTTGTTCATTTTTATATTTTACAAGAAGTGGGATTCCTCAACCTTGTCTTTTAGGAAACAGGCCTCATGCCTGGTGGCCCACAAGAACTAGAAATGCACAAGATATCCAAGGCTAAGACTTGAACAGGAACCTCTCCATATCCCAGGTCAATTCTTAACCACTTGTGCTAACCCTTGTGGATTGAATTATAATCACTGCTCATTAAGAGCACAAAAGCTTTATTCCCCACACTCAATTGCAAAATCCATGGGACTGAAAGTAGTTCTAAACTAGAGACTAAAAAGGTAAGATGCCAAAATAAGACATGCGAAGGAACTAGCCAAATTGCTATGTACCTGATAGGTGTAGAGTTTAACATATATTAGAGGCATTCGTTGGTTGATCCTGCTGTAGTTCCTAGCAATACGATTAACAGTTTCAGGAACATATTCAAGAACAAGATTTAGGTAGAGCTCTTCCTTGTCTGTTGTAGAAAAGAAGCAGTGTTTAAGAGCTACAATATTTGGATGATCCAACATCTGCATAATCTGTAATTCCCTGTTCTTGTAACGCTTGTCTTGAAGAACTTTCTTGATGGCAACAATCTCTCCTGTTTCCCTACATTTCGCCTGCAAAGGGAGTTCAGATAGAGTTTAAATAAATGTAATTTAATGGAAAATAGTTAACAATCAATTCATTGGACAAATATGCTTACTTGAACGACAACACCAAAAGAACCAGTTCCAACCACATGTTCTGCTATATAACTGACAGTCTGTCAACCCAAACAAAGCAGAAGTTACATAGGATGTAAGGGTTTCACCAATTAGGATCACGTACAGGATGAGATTTGTGTATTGCATTAATGAGTTTCCCACCTGCCTAGATTGACCATTTCGGCCACCAATAGTAGTCCTGATGACATGTCCCGCTTCTGCACCAACACCATCAATTATATCGGGTTCACTATCCTGCAATGGAAGAGAAAGGACTAAGTAGGTACAGAAAGAAATTGTGAAGCTAGGTAAGCTCAGCTGATTATGGAAATTGAGCCGTGGTTTCTAGATTGAGTGAACCTCCCACATAAGGGATCAAATAATTTCGCAACCACTTTGCAGAGTGTTTCAATGACCAGGAGATACTTGAAGGATGAAGCCAGTCATTGGATATCTAACAACAGAAAAAAAACACCTCATAATAATATAAAATAAAAGCTTCTATAACATGGCAACTTACTCGGTCCTCGTCATGGTCCACCTTGTCTCTCAATCTCATCTCAAGCATCTCTCTGCCCAGCCAATCAACGGAACTAGACGAACTTTTGAAACCATTAACGGACCTGGAACTTCCAACTCCCCCATTTCCTAAGCTGGCAGACGACATGAGTACACGTGACAATTATTGCACTTGCTAGTCTTCCCTACCCTCATGACACTTTGTAGTTCTGCAATCCACCCACCTATCTTCCTAATAGAATTACAAATTCGCAGTCAGACACAGAAACTAAACATTCAGGGGGAAAAAAAAACAGAGAAAGAGAGAGATGCCAGGCCAAGGAAGAGTTAATTTTACATAACATCATTTATTGATCAACTCAAATAATTTTTCATGCTAGATTTCACATCATACAATCCACAAACAACTTGAAAAGTTGACATAATCAATGAAAGCAATCAAGGCTTGTAACGTGAACTTGGAAACTGCATAAATTCCTTCAAACAAATGCTCAATATCCAGGATACAACTACTTACATGATAAAAACAGCCCAGAATTATACATAGCACCACAAACAAAATCTGCCCTGATGCTTAGACTTGCTGTGCTTCTATCAAAACAATGTTCCAACAAAAAGTTCAAGATTGAAACTTCAACTGAAAACCAATGCTTCTTATCATGATCTAGAAATAAAAAACAAAACCCACAATTTAAATGAGATGAAAAGGGAAAAGAAAAGGAAAATCATTAAACACTGAAACTAAGTGAGACAAGACTGATCAGATCTAAGCCCCAAATTGCAACTCCAGGAAAAAAAACACAATTGATTAAAGCTTAATTACAGCATCTTTTCCATAAATTCAAACCAGATCATGAAGTAAAGGGTCAAGAGATGATAATCAAACTAACCTGGAAACGTTTCAAGAGAGGGGGCATTTCTTGCCTTGCAGGGTTCAAGTGGGAATTAAAAAAAACAATTGCTTTTTTGATTCAAATTCTTACTAGTACAATAAGGGTTTTCAACTCAAATTAACTAATTAATGCTTTTGTTTTCTGGGTTTTGGAATTATTTTTTTTACAGTCACCTGACCATGTTCAAATAACCTCTTCTTCCTCCTGATGCTGACATTAAATATTATCTGCCGCTGCTGGCTGCTGGCTGCTTCTGTTTATTATTATTATTATTTTATTATTATTATTATTTGCTTTTGTTATAATATTATTTAGGTGCATGGCACCTTGACGCTTCTAAAACCCGACCCGTGGTCAATTCAGAGTAAAAACGGAAAAAAAAAAAAAATCAAAAGTGAAGAAGAAAATTTAAAAACAAATCAATAAATAAATAAGTTCAACAAAGTTTTTTTTTTTTTTTTCAATCTGACGGCTCTCCAATAGATAATATAATATAATAATTATATTATATATCTAACCTATATGTTATATACTTCTCTATTATTTTTTCTTTCGTATAATAATTAATTATGCATCAATTATCACTTTCTTTTTTGTTATTAAACATATATTATTTTTATTTTTTAAAAATACTTTTTTTCAAAAAATAATATTTTTTATGTTTCATGTCATTTTATATATTAATATTAAAAATAATTTTTTTAAAATAAAAAAAATATTTTATAATGATTAATAAAGTGACACCATATGAAATGTATACGTGTCTGTATATGTAATGTATGTAACTGTAATAGCAGTTATTTTTAAAATATTTTTTATTTAAAAATATATTAAAATTTATTTTTTAATTATTTTTATATTAAAACATCAAAAAAAATTGAAAACAACAAAAAAATTAATTAAATATAAAAAAATTTAAATTTTAAAATACAAAAACAAACCAATAATAAATACATTTAATATTAGCAAGTTGTCGTTAAAAACTTGTATTAGAGTATGATTATGGTTGCTTTTTAAAAACAAGTAAATAATATTTTTTTTATTTTTTAAAAATTATTTTTGAGATTAATATATTAAAATAAGTTAAAAAAATAAAAAATATATTAATTCAAAATATTTTTTTTTAATTTTTTCAAAAACATTTTAAAATGGAGTGAAAAACACTCCCTTCGTCTTTCAACCAAACATTAAGAAACCTTCATATGCAAAACAATCTCCTGCCATTTGTCTATCTACAGCCTACTGTTTAATTCTGGTTGCTCTTGTCTGCATCCAATTCTCTCAAGCATTTGGTCATCGTTTCAGTTGGTCACACCCTGTGCACACAAATATCTCATCTTTTTGCCCTTTTGATTAGGGTTATAAATGCATCATGATAAGTGCCAGTGTTAGCTGCTATGGGCCCTGGGAAGATGTGCGAAAAAATAAAGATTAAAAGATAACATGTTCTTGTTTTGATCTTGAAATAATAGATCCCTTCTACTTTAAAATACCAACAAGATACAACTCAAAAACAATAACAGGATTAATTAATATTTTTACAGACCTTTTATCTCATGATCTGTCGTTAGCGTCAATGGAGACATGAGCACTCCCGTTGAATATCGCCTGCCTCTTTTACCTTTCTTATTTGTCTGCTTCATGTGCATTACTGGTTGGACTTTGGAGCCTAAAGCGCACAAGTTTTTTTTTCTTTCTTTCGTCCTTGTCATGAGTGGGAGAACTGGGAGGGTCCTCCATTCATTTACAGTTCCATAGTATTCAAAACCTAGTGGGGCAGTAATGATATGATAAAATGTGAAGTGGAAAAGCACAAGGATTTTAATAATTAGATGGGGCTAAAAAGACAACATCATGTCTAGGCAAGCTTTTAACACCAACTTTTAAGACTTTTGAATAGATCCCACAGAGTCACCTTCAAGGGGCAATTGTGCTCTTGAGTAACCAACCCCTCCTCCTCTCTCCATGCGTGCATTGATGTGAGTGCTTGCATGAGTACCTGCGTCCACAGGCACCGTAAAATATAGATGGAATATCTCGCTTGCATCCGAGTCGATCTACAAGTTGTCGGGGTTATTTATTTTTTATGTTTACCAAAACGAAACCCTGGTTTGGTTGCTGCATTGAGATAGAAGAGGCGGATCTCCTTGTATCTCCTGTTTTGAGAACAGAAATTCACTTGGAAATTATTTTTGACCAAATATATTTTTGTCCTTTCTATATCTGTTGGCTCTTGTGTACGGGGAAATTATCAGTCGAGGCTCCCGTTGGAAAAAACTTTTCATAAAGATAACATAGTCCTGTTATGTTTATGTTTCTTCTGTTGCTACATTCAGTGTTCAAAGGGAATTTTTTTGCACATAAATTTAGTTGCGATACAACTATACAACGTATACATTGATATGCGTAAAGCAAGAACATTCAAGTTCAAAATCAATAAAATTTTGTAAAGGAGAAAAATGAACTCACCAAAGCATTTAAATCCCAATTGCGTCGAGAAGCTGGGAATGTTGAGACACGGAAACTAGTGAGTTAGCAACAATGGCGCCACTAGCAGCAACTGCTGGGACTCCAATGCCAGGAAAAGTAGAATCTCCACAACAATAAAGCTGGGATATGGGAGTTGAATGGCCAGGAAAGGTATTTTTCCCAGCTTCAATAGCTGGTCCGTAAGTTCCTCTGTTCCTTCGAAGAAATCTCTTATGTGTCAATGGAGTTCCAACTAACTTCACCTCGCATTTCTCGCGGCTGAAGCCTGGACCAAGGGCACGCTCCACCGCCCTCCACATAACCTGCTCACAACCAACAAAACAGCAGTAGGAATTTAAGATCACAACTTCTCCTTCTCTAGTATAAACCGATTTAAACAGCAGGAA